AGTGTCACTTCGTAGCAGCTGCACCGCCGTCATAGAATCCATCTGCATCTCTACCTTCCGGGCTCCTCTCTCCCAGGCCATCCTCAAACCATAAACGACGCCCGGCAGCTCCGCATGTATAATTGAGCAACCACCCAAGTTCTCCGAGATGAAGCTCCCATCATTTCTTCTCATCACTCCCCCCGCTGTTTTGCTGCCTTACCCAATTATCACCGCTCCATCTGTATTAACACACAACCAATCGTTCTCGAGTCCTTGCTAGCTCATCAAAGCAAGGCTTCGTAAACAACTTCCCCCCGTCACCCGCATCGAGTTCGCGGTGGCCTTCGACACTTGAGTCCGCCAGCTATGGATTAGGCAGGAAAATTGTGCAGCAGACTCCAGCTCTTTGTAAAAAACCCACTGGTTTCTATTTTTCTACAGCTGCCAAACAAGCACAGCGAAAAGGGTGGGATTAACAATGGAACTGCGGTTAGAAATATAATGCATCACCCACTTATGTATGTTCTCTTCATAGAATGCTTCATCGGGCTCCCCCCTCAAAAATTCAGACCAGGCCATCCTTGCATACGGGCAATCTCGCAAGACGTGGACCGTCGTCTCAGGAGCACCACCACAAATCGGGAAGAGACTCTCTAGCGTGAGGTGGCGGCGACACCGTTCGTGTTTAGTTAACAGCCTGTTATGAAGAACTAGACACATGAAAGATCTCGTGCGCTGTGGTCTTGGCATACGCCAAATTTCCCTCCAAACTTGGTTCTGAGCCCCATCGCCGCCCGCGTTTGTGAGCATCTCCCAAGCTGTTTTCACCGTTAATTTCCCTGACTGCAAGAACCTCCAGAACGGGACATCAGGTTCGGTTTCATGCGGCACCGGGCGGAGGAGTAGTTGATCCGCTATATTCTCGGGCAGGAAAATCCTGATAAAGTCCATGTTCCATGCTTCGTTCAAAACCATTTCCGCAGCCTTCAAGTTCCTTACCTCGACCGGGAGATCATGAGTGAATTCCACCAACGGTGGTCCATCCTGAAGCCAACGATCAGTCTAGAAGCAAGTTTGCATACCACTTCTAATACTCCACATAGTCCGTTCTGGTAACCAATGAAGGACTCGTAATACTCCCCGCCACGATTAGACAATCTGCCTTGCCTCCTCGGTTGCTACCCGTCAGCTGTTTGCTTAAGATACTTCCCTCTTATAACACGAGCCCATAAACTGTCTTGCTCAGAAAGGAGTCGCCAAGAAATCTTTAGCATAAACGCCTCATTCATACCTGTTGCAGTTCACAATCCCAGACCGCCTGCTTCCTTGGCCTGCACACAATATCCCAATCAATCAAGTGGATCTTCCTGCCCTGTTCTGAGCTTCCCAGAGGAATCCCCTGATCTTCTTGTTGATATACTCCCTGACTGTGGCCGGTAATAATGTTGTTTGCATAGTGTAGGCCGGCAATGATGACAGTACAGACTGCACTAGAGTGATCCGCCCAGTAAGAGATAATGACTTCACCTTCCAGCCAGCCAATCGCGTATCAATTAGATCTGTGAATGTTGCCTTCGAGACACGATCATGAATCACGGGCACCCCCAAATACCGTCCCAGATTACTGGTAACCGGGATATCTAGTGCACTACTGATAGCTGCACTATCCGAAGTACTCACATTATTTGAAAGGAAGATCCTCGATTTGGGTCGACTGACCTGTTGCCCAGAGGCCGCACCAAATTCCTCCAAACACCCAGAGATTACCTGCGCTTGCGCTAGAGAGGCCACTGCAAATAGTATCAAGTCGTCAACAAAGAATGAATGCGACAAAGGTAATTATGAATAAAGAGATCAAGGAAGGTAATTATTAATGAATTATTATAGGAACTCCTCCGACATTGCAAACAACTTCTGTATTAGGAATGAAGCCAAAATGGGCGCCATGTGATGATCAAAGCAAAGGAAAACGAAAGACACCACCACCCACCATAGAAGAAGAAGAAGAAGAAGAAGAAGAAGAAGAAGAAGAAGAAGAAGAAGAAGAAGAAGAAAAGAGAGATATACATATGGTCCCCCATTCTGCCTGGCTGTTTGGTGTCTTACCCACCCATCACATGCAAATGCAACCCTTAATCCTATTATTTAATTCACTAAACCAACATAATTAAATTAATAACAACCTACTTTACTTACTCAACCGCCCTTTCCTTTAACTAGCAAGGCAATTGAAATATTGTGATTGTTTTTTGTGGGGTTTTGAGTTCAACGATGAGCTCTGGGGTTTCGCGGTTTCGGAAGGTGTCAGTTTGGATGTGGAAATTTGAAAATCGTGGAAATTTGTCTGAATTTCAAGGTTTTACAAAATCAAGGAATTGACTTGTGGAAATTGAACAAAATTTCACGTTTGGATAGAGTTTAGTTTTGTGAGAATTGATGGTGTGGAATTTGGTAAAAGTACAAAAATGCCCTCCTTTGTTTATATACATATACTCCTCCTAAAGGTTGTTGTTGTATTATACTAACTACTAATTGTTGCTAACTTAAGCATAGTTAGAAAAATATGACATAAATATATAAACTTAATTATTTTAATAATAAGTACATATAAACTTAATTATTTTAATAATAAGTACATATATAAATTACAATAAAGTTAACTATTTAATTCATTGAATACGGATATTAAAAGTGTTTAGGCGAATTCGATGAGGAGAAGTAGGAAAATCGACGGTGAATGAGATAATTAAGCGAATCCAAAATTAAGAAATTGACGACGGATTATAGGAGATATACGAAGGTGAGGGGAGATGAAGAAGAAGAGGTACCATTGATGAATGAAAAAGAAGGGGCTACTCTTTTCATAAATAGTTAGGCGAAAACGGAGAAGGAGTAAGAAAGAAAGGAGGTCCCAGGTTCGAATCCCTCAAGTAGTACCTTAATTACAAAATGAAACCTATATCACCCTTATAAAAAAATGAAAAAAAAGAGAGGAAGGACATAGGGACACATTTGGAAATAGAAGGAAGAAAACGTGGTAATTTCAAATTACTAGGGGGAGATGTAGTATTCTCAATTACAATGAATGTGGTAATTGAAGCCAATTTCCACGGTCCAATTCCCATACCTTTTTTGCGCTGCCAAACGTGAGTTTTTAACCCAATTTCTACATTAAATGGTTATTGGATCCAATTACTGCATTAAATTTCTACGTCCAAACGACCCCTAACCAGATTCACTTTCGTACGCAAGAAAGCAAAGGAAAGCAGAAAAGCCACAATAATCAAAGGACGAACGAGACTCAACGCAACACGTTTTCCTAGGCCGAGTAGTAAAGTTGGGTTGTTAATTACGCCGTACCTTTGGGAGCAAAAGTGTGGCGGTCGTTCGGGTTGCCCCTGGAACAAGGCACATATGGCCCCTCGTAGGTCACAAGAGACGTACGTACGTAGGGTCACAAAAAAAATCCATGCAATGCAAGCTTGCAGCGGGGGAGTCCGGCGTCGTTCATCGACGGAATGGGATTATTTCGTGTAACGAATTTGACTTAGAGAGAATTATGTTAAAGATTAGGCCTAGGGAGTGGTTGGTAATTGTCAATAGATATAAATACTGAGTATATTGTATTGTATTGGGCATCGAATACAATTGAGAAAGTTTCCACAAATTCTATCTCTCTATTACTTCTTCCTTTCCTCTCCTTCTTCCATTGGTTGCGTCTGCAACTTCTCTTCTTCTGCACTTCATTCTCTATGTTCTTCTTCTCTTTCTTATCAGCGGCGTATCTAGAGCTGGGCCAACTCGGAACACGACCCAGCCCTCCTCCGGATCTAGAACTAGTATAGTGCTTATAAATTTTTTGATTTTAGATATTCGATCGAGTGCTATTTAAAAGTCGGTTTAGTGTTATTTGATAATATCAGGGACGGAGCTAGCTCATGGCTAGGGGCCATGGCCCCCTTAGGATTGTAGAAATAAGCTGAATATAGCCTATATAAACGAAATCATTTGTAGTGCAATTGGTAAAGTGTAGTCTCTGTGATGGTTAGATTCGTGAGCCCAATTCACGGGCAACTCATTTGTTTTATAGTTATGTTCGTTATTCCTTTTCTCGGTTGCAATTTATTAGGTAGATGTTGTTGGGAAGAATAGCTTTGAAAAGATATAAATGAAATTCCTAATTAATTATCCAGTATCTTCTCCATAATACGAAAATAAGATGGATAATTAATAAAAGAAATATTATGGAGATAATTAGAAATAATTATCTTAGTAGATTATATTTTAATTATGGGAGTAATTATCTCCCTAATTAAAATGTGACTTATTCCCAAAGAAAGAGGGAATATTCTGGGTTTTCTGCTCCTATAAATAGGAGACGCCCCAGACCCTCTAAACACATCTCGGAGAGCAGAAACACGAGATAGAGAGTGAGTTCTTAGAGCTCCGGTTTTCGCACAAAACCGATGAGCAACAAAATTAGAGTGCCTGTTTTATCCTGAAGGCGACCGGATGATAGTCTGCCATGCGCAACGAAGGCAGTGCCGCGAACGTCTTAAAGAGAGCGACCTAGTCCGAGACTCAGCCAGATCGGTAACCCTATTTTTCTGTTCGGTTTATAACAATTTTAAGACGTTGGTTGCTGTCATATGTACCAAACAGAATGCCGATACTGGCTCGATCAATTACTATCGTCGTTCGCTTGAAAAAGGGGCCTATTGCACTAGGTCCGCAGCGGCTCGCACTTGTGTTTCTATTCCCATATCGATCGCGATATGAGCTCTTTTGTGCGAGAATCGGGGTTTAAATTGCTTGCTTGTAGAAAGAGATAGAAGTTGCAGCCGAGTTGGAACATGAATTCGGAGGCCATGACAAGCATGTGGAAGAGGTGGTACGGTGCAAGAAATTGATGGGTTCAATTCAATAACCATCAATTTAATTAAAATCTCCGAGGAAGTTTGGTGAAAGAGGTGTCCGAATGGTGGACTGGTAATCATCAGCTCGCCGAAGGGAAATTGATGAAGATGGTAGTAAAAATAATAACGATGGGAAGAGAAGCAGATCGAGTTGGAGAGGCTTCGCACACTCCAGAATCCAGATCGAGACTACGCCTAGCCGGGAACTCGAAGCAACAAGAAACGTGTTTGACCGGGACAGAAAAGAGAGGGTCTCGTGATCATGTGCATGCTTGTTCTTGGATCGGAGTCGATTCCAGGTGCTTGTGGCCAATCGCAATTTGCCTCAGCGAGAAGAACATGGAAGACGCCATTAGTTTAGCGAGGATGGTGGTTGGATTGGTTCAGGAAACTCGAAGGGCGCCGCTGAAAGAGATGTCATATCATTTGGAGAACCCTACAAAGGTTCACTATGGCTGGAGGCTGGAACCATGCGTGCGATGGAGAGTGATTTGGGCCCGCAAGCTTGTTCGATCATTGGGCCTCTCAATTTCGTCCATGCCAAAATAATAGAGGAGGGCCCGTCTAATTGAATTGCCAATGCCCAACTCTTCAGCGAAAAAGGCAGAAAGGAAACTTGATTTGAGTCATCCTAGCGATTTTGTCTCATGGTTTCTCTACTTATTTTATTGTTATTGTGTGAAATCACAATGTAAATTGATCTTCCTTTTCTTTTTTGGGAGGTAATGAAGTCAAGGAAAAGGATGGAAGATATCCGCCCTGGTAAAGTTGACCTAGGATGGTGGACCCAAGACCCAAGTCATGGGTGAAACAGTATACTAAAATGTTGAAAATGGCACCTTCTGTTGCTCCGGTTAGTGGCAGCTTTGAAAGAAGACTTGCTAGGAAATTGAGCAACAAGGAAGCCATGCTTAGTGCCTATGCTGCGAATTCAGAAGACAACGTCTTCACGAAAAAAGGTAAGATTTTAATCTTACTTGTGAGTCATTTATGAATGACAAAATTATGATCTATTTAATAGAATTTTGAGCATACTATTGAGAAACCTAATGAATGCTCAAAGAAAGACAAAATTATAATTTATTCTATGTAGATTCATGTATGAAATTGAGAAATTTTGTGAATGCTAATAAACAAACTAGAATTCACGCATGAATATATTGATATTGAGATGTGTTTTTCTCAATAATTAGAGTGCAATTTTGTGTACATGCTATAAAGTAGAGTAATATGAATGCATACTCTGAAGCATATATGGATGTATATTCGGTAGTGAATATGCTAGTGGAATGGGTTATATGTCCATATTTATTAGAAGTACTGTTTGTCAGTACTATGAGAACCATTTGAACGTTTTCAAACCCTAATAAGGTATAGCAAACCGAATCAGATTCACACCAATTAAAATGGTACCATTCGTGGTAACTAAAGGATCATCAGCCAATCCTCTAAGAATGACGCTTTATTTCTCTACAATAGTTGCGAGAAATTAGGTCATATGACACGAAAGTGTAGGAACAAGTATAACACTGGTTCTAGTGTTAACTTGATTGAAGAGAAGAATTGGTAGCTGTGATGATTGACAAAAGAGCAGAGATTAACCAAGCTGGTAACTCTGTAGAATAGTGGTATCTCGAAGCATACTAAGACATATGCTATTAAGAAAGTGTTGTTGAGTATTGCTCACTCCACTATTGGTCATGATCATGAGAGTATGCATATGATAATAAAGTTAAAGTGTTTAATTCTTATGGGTCTTGCATGCACGTCTTTGACGTATATCTTGAGGAATTGAATAGCTACGGTCACATTCTCATAATGGTTGTGATAAATGTGATTTCCATAGCTAAGATAAATGACACATAAATATGTGTTTAGAGAATTAGAAACTTTGAATCTGATTAAATTTTATGTGTAAACATGATGAGATGCTTACTTAAACTGGCTTGAAATGCTTTATCGCATTATTATTGATTGCCCTGATTATTGTTGGTTGGTGTTAGAATTAGAGAATCAGTGCAATATAATTATGAGTAAGCATATGATTGTGTTTATTGGATATGCTATAGGAAAAACACATATGCCTCATAACTTGAGTGCTCATTATGTTTTTGAATTTATTGATGCCAATGGACTTCCATTTAAAATCAATAAATAGTGGGGGTTGTATCCTACCTACTATTAGAAATAATGGAACTAGTGGGGGTGGTGAATCTGAGTATGAACTCAGAAGAAGCAAACGAACCATAAATCGATAAAGGATTTTGGTTATGAGTTTGTTATTTACACCCTAAGAATGATCCTACAAGTCTGCTAGAAGTTCAAACTTCTGTAAGGTGCAGATTTGTGGGAGAATCCATTATTAACGAAATGGAATTATTGGAGTCTAATAGACTAGAATCTTGTAGAGTTACGTCTTGACTGTAAAGCCTTGGGTAATATATCGATGGAATCGAACAAGATTTGGCATCTATGAGAATTACCTCTTGGCAATGAAGTCATGGGTAATAAATGGATTCTTAAAAAGAAAAACTAAAACCTAATGGTTTAGTTTATGAGTATAATGATCGCCTAGTAGTTAAGACTCTAGGCGGGGGAAAAATGTAGATTTTCTTGATATCTATTCACCAAATCTAAAATAACATCCATGTATGGTCTGATTGCTAGTGGTGCATTAGATGGATGTTAAAATTGCATTTTGTGAATGGTGATTTAGATAAAGAAATCGAAATTGGGACAACCTAAAAGGTTGTTATTATTGAACATGCTTTTAAAGTCTATGGTGAGACAAATCATGGTATGATTTGAAACGGACTTTAAAGATCATGGCATGGATGGATGGTTATCTCTCATGGTTTTGAATGAAAGTGGCAAGTGCATTTGTTACTAACTTGAGAACGACACTTGCACTATAAAAGACATGTTGATCTTTGTTTCAAAGACTCATGACATGAATAAATGTGAAAAACCATGTTGAGTGAGAACCAAATAACTAGGACAGTGAAAGAAATTTTTTATAGATCAATCTAACTGTCTGGTTAAGATCTATAAGAAATACAAGTTGTACACTTGCCTAAATGTTTGAAGATGCTAGTACAATTTTTTAAAAGAGCACCAGAGACGGTGTAAGAAAGTAAGAACATACTAGCATCGATAGTCTGCGAGAGGCAGCTGATAAACATGAGACCCGACATAGTGGGATACTTGGCAGGTTTACTGATTGTCCTAGTATGAAGCATTGAAATGCTATTGAAAGGGGTCATGAGATGCCTTAAGAGAACAGTAGACCTTGATATATGTTATCAACGATTTCTTGCTGTATTAGTAGGGTATATTGATGCGGATAAGAATACCCTATAGAGGCTCCAAGATAACCAGAAGCTATGTTTTAAACATCGATAGAGAAGTTCTGTCTTGGAAGTCTAAGAAAAATAAGTAAATGATCTTGACTCAATCAACTATAGAATCAGATATGATAGAACTAGCAATGGCTAGTAAAGAAGAAAGTTGATTGAGAGGCTCATTACTAGAGATTCCCTTATGGGAAAGACCGTATCCGCCGGTATTGATCCATTGCGATAACAATTGCTAAATAGAACCGTAACAAATGGTAAGAGGCGACAAGTTCGTCATGAGAACAGTACCGGAAGAGAGAGTCCCTAACTGTTGGAGCAGTAAGGGTGGATCACTTAAAAGAGAATCTAGTTTATTCTTTGACGAAAGGATGAACTTGAGATTATAAAAGAATCTAGTTGGTCCTTTGACGAAAGGACTAGCTAGAGAGAAAGTCCAAAATACCACGAAGGGTATGAGACTTATGCCTACCGAACCATGGATTACAAGTGATGGTAACCCGACCCGATAGACTTGAGATCCCAAGAAACGGGTTCAATGGGTAATAACAAGTCATGAGTAATATTGATAAAAGTTCATGCATAGTGAAGCATGAATCCCAAAGCCTTGGAGGTTGAGTTAAACTCTTAATGAGATCTATACTCTATGTGGAGTGAAGTACTTTACTTTGGGGGTACTTCTGATAGACTCACCTATGTGAATGTGGGAATGGGGCCGCTCCCTATGGAACTTTGGAGGCACAAAGTTGCTAGAGCGTTCACTAAACCGGGATAATGTGCATGGCCATAAACGCACGGCCTATGAGAGAATATCACTCAATGAAAAGATCTGGTGTGCTACATTGTCTGAGATAGGGTTCAAGACTACGAGTCACCCTTATGAAATCGGAAGTGTAACCACTACGCTAAGGTTCAAATCTTCGCGATACCTTAGCTTATGCCCGATCTTATGGAATTGTTAATGCTCAGAGATAGTTTCAAAACTATTCAAGAGGGGGATTGTTGGGATGAATAGCTTTGAAAAGCTATAAATGAAATTCCTAATTAATTATCCAGTATTTTCCCCATAATACGAAAATAAGATGGATAATTAATAAAAGGAATATTATGGAGATAATTAGAAATAATTATCTTAGTAGATTATATTTTAATTATGGGAGTAATTATCTCCCTAATTAAAATGTGACTTATTCCCAAAGAAAGAGGGAATATTCTGGGTTTTCTACTCCTATAAATAGGAGACGCCCCAGACCCTCTAAACACATCTCGGAGAGCAGAAACACGAGATAGAGAGTGAGTTCATAGAGCTCCAGTTTTCGCACAAAACCAATGAGCAACAAAATTAGAGTGGCTGTTTTATCCTGGAGGCGACCAGCTGATAGTCTGTCGTGTGCAACGAAGGCAGTGCCGCGAACGTCTTAAAGAGAGCGACCTAGTCCGCGACTCAGCCAGATCTATAACCCTATTTTTCTGTTCGGTTTATAACAGATGTTCAATCCATTGTATTATAGTTATGTTCGTTTTTCCTTTCTTGGTTGCAATTTGTTAGATAGGTGTTCAATCCATTGTTGTCTCAACAAATAATAGGGTTGTGTTTTCATTTGTAATTTGTTATGTTTTGTCTTTGTGTCTCCTTTTTCTTTATTGTCTTTTTAAATTACATAATTACTAGGTAGTGATGCCGCGTCTTGTCGCGGGCGGAGATGGCCTATTTACATGTATTATGTGGCCCGTTATGATATTTTATTAGTTTTATTAGGCTAAAATTAATTTTTTGTTAGCAGTTTTTTTAGTAATATTGACTTGACAATATGATATTGACTAAGAATACATATATGGCGGTCAATATCCAATTTAAAGATTTTTGAAAATTTTGGATAGTAAATGATATTTATCAAAACCCAAGTAGACCCATTGATTATTATGGGTAGAGTATGTGTAACGTATATATGGGTTTGAAAGTTTGTAGATGGGTTTGGGTAGGGTATGAGTTGGGTATGGATACCCATTTATTCGAGGGTGTTTTAATTGCACATACAAATATAAAACCTTAGAACTTCAAAAGTTTAGGTACCAAAATGTAATACACAAAAATTTTAGGTACTAAAATGTATTGTTTAATCAATATTTTGAGGACTTATATGTCACACAAATAAATTTAGGTTATAAATCTAAAGATATATTAAGATTAGGTAC